GGAGGCCGGCGTTGAGACGGTGGTGGTCGTCGTTCGTACCTTCATTGAGCGTAGCTGTCGTCCAAGCCTGGCAATCTAGTTTACGCCGCAACGACTGTCCGTTTTCTCGTCCGCCGGACTAGTAGATGGACCGGCTATGATGAGGACTGCGCCTTCGTCGGAACCCGGTCGAGGGGTGACTAAGTGTTTATCCGCCATGGACTCGCTCATGTCTGGATTAATGTTTAGCCTGGGTGCACGTCTACTCATTTGTTTACTGAGCTGCGCTCGAAGGGCTTGATAGGCAGCGGGAAGAGCCACGCAGCGGTTGATGGAGGTTGTCCCCGTGTGCCAAGCCTCGATTGTTTCCCTGGCTATGCGATCGTTTCCCCGGCCCAGAATTTCGGCATGCTGAAAGGCGAACGTGTGTCCGACATCGGAGCAGTGTTCGGCCACCAGAGACAAAGGGTCCATTCGCCTTACTGCCCTCATGTGTTCTCCAACACGAGTCTGTAGCCGTTTTCCGGTCTCCCCAATGTAGTTGACTTCGCAGGAGTTACACCGGATCCGGTAGATGACGTTCGTGGTTTCACCTAGTGGCAGAGGGGCCTTAGGTCTCATGACCAGATGTCGAATTGTTGACTCCGGTCGGTGGGCGATGCCGATCCCCAGCGGTCTTAAGAGACGCGAGACGGCCTCAGAAACGCCGTCGATGTATGGAAGCGCCCGCCATATTGTTGGTTGTTCTGTCACCAAACGTCGGCTCGGTCCGGCCTGTCTGCCGCGTTCAATGAAGTTGCGAGGATACCCGTTGGCCATGAAGAGGCGCTGGAGGTAGCGTAGTTCTGACCTTCTGTCGTCCGGCTCGCTGCAGTGTGTTTCCCCCCTTCTGTAGAGTGTTCGCACACAACTGCGTTTGTAGCCTAACGGGTGCTTACTGTGGAAGCTGAGGATTTGGCGCGTATTAGTGGCCTTCCTATATACCGTCGTTTTTAATTGCCCATTGGGTTTTCGATGGACGAGAACGTCAAGGAACGGGAGTTGATTGTTGGCTTCCGCCTCCATTGTGAACTGGATGTGAGGGAAAACAGAGTTCAGGACATCATGGAATTCCTTGACCATTTGCCGCTTAATGATAACGAAGGTATCATCGACATATCGAGCCCAAAATTTCGGCTTATAGGTTGAGAAAACGAGGGTCTCTACTTTTTGGAGAACTGCCTCTGCGATGAAGCCCGAGAGCGGCGATCCCATTGGCGTCCCCTTGACCTGCTCGTAGGTCGTGCCTTCAAAGGTAAAGTACGTCTTCAGGCAGAATCTCAGCAATTGGACGAGATGTCTCCTTGTTACCGTCACGTCCGTCTCGTCGTACGGACTCTCGAGCAGCTCGCTGGCCGTTTCGATTGCCAGGTCTTGCGGGATCGAGGTGAAAAGAGAGGTGACGTCGAATGACACCATGACCTCGTCTTCGGTAAGTCTCATCTTTTTGATCCCCTCCAGGAACTGAGTCGCTGAACAGACCATCGTACCCGCGTCCGAGGTGAAAGACCTCAGGTTTCGGAACAGCCCTTTGGCCAAATTGAATGTAGGTGCGCCGCGCAATGATACGATTGGCCGGAGGGGGACCCCGGCTTTGTGTTCCTTTGGTAGTCCGTAGAACCTTGGCGCGGCCGCGTCTACTGGCTTAATGGCCAGTCGTACCGATTTACTTATTGCCTTGCTCGTTTGCATGTCGGCGAGTGTCTTGTCCAGTTGCGTCACCAGCCTCCTCATCGGTTCATCGTTACATGGTAGGTACGCCTGTCGGTCCTCCAGTAGGGCATTGGCCTTCTGAATGTAGTCTGCCTTATCCATCACAACTGTGGAACGCCCTTTGTCTGCTGGTAGAATCACGATGCTGGTGTCAGCCCTCAGTGTCTTGAGAGCGCTCTGCTCGGCCTTGGTAATAGTTGCACGCGGTTTGTGTGACATCGCCAAGGAGGCTACCTGCCGCCCTGATTTCATATGTAGGAAAA